GTTTTTCGTTTTTGATTGCGTTTTAATAGAGTATGTCAAGAGAATGTACACTAAAAAGAAATTTTTCAAAAAATTTTCCCCCCTCCATGGGGGGGTGTTTTACATATATAACAGATACATTTTGAGCCACAACAACGCATGGCGGGGTCTGCTAGTTATGATTATAAATTATACATATATACATGGACCAGAGGTCCAAATAGTGTAACTGGTAACATATATGCCCTATTTGCAGAATCTATACATTCAAGTCCCTTTCTGAATTGATATTTTCTTCCAGACATTTCTAAATTAATTAATTATATTCAAAAATTGTTTATGAGATTGTCTATCATTAGTACAAAATTTCTTAGTAATTTAATTACATTATGGTTTAAAAAGTGCCCATAAATTTTGACTATTTAATTATTTATTTTTGTATTTTTTTAAATAAGTTATAGGAAAAAAATCAATAAAATTCTTGCATAGCTTTATTGAAACTAACTACTTTTAGTCTATCTTCAAGTTCTCTATCACTTAAATAGGCTATAATGTTCATTACATTTAAAGTTTAGAATATATGTTTATATGCACAATGCCTTTTTAAATACAATAAATAATTTAAAAATACAACAATAAAATAAATCAAATGAATAAATTAAAAATAATACAATAAGTAACATAAAATAACATAGAAAAATTATTTAAAATAATTGTTTAGTATTTGTTATTTAGTAGTGAAAATGTTAATTTCTGGACATAGTAAATGTTAGAAATAAACACATCCACTGAGGAACCTTAATTACTTCCAGTATGCATTTTAATGACTTTTATTTGTATTAAATGTATACTGGAAGTAATTAAGGTTCCTCAGTGGTTGCGTTTGTTTTTATTACAGTTTATTTCAGTCTTTCACAAAATTTGAACTTTAATGAAGAATGTTTCTAGTTGGAATTCTTTATATATTTAAAAGAAAACCAAACATAAAAAATAAAAATATTAAATAAATTAAAAATCAAATGCATAATAAATGTACATATAACATATAATAAAAATAAATATAATGACCTGAAAAGGTTTTTCTTGTCTTTATAGTAGCCTCCATGCATTCAGGAATGTTCTGCAATGCTAATACAGCTGTTCTTATAAGTTTATTTATATTTTTCTGTCATTTCCATGGTTTAATTTAGATAGTTCAGGCTCTTTTATTCGTTTGATCTCATTGTTAAGTTATGAGGCATATGCCAATGTTATGTTGTAGTAACTGTGAGACCCGAAAGGCCCCTGGGTCTAAATTAATATTTTATTAATAATGTTAAAATAATGTCACCAAATATTACTTCATTTTTGGTGAGAAAAATACTGTTTTAACGTGGGAATAGGCAGATAACAGATGTCACTTCCTTTCACTGAAGTTAGTGCATCCTCTGACTTTCCCTTATCTGGTTAAAATCCTGCTCAGATGGGAAATGGTTACCCCTCATTCATTCCCCTTTCATCCGTTCTCACGAAAGAGTTACGGGCCGATGATTGGTCGGTATTCCGAAGATATACAGGGAACTTGTCAGAATTCGGGCAGTTCAGCGACAGATCCGAAAGCGTCCAAACTCCACATACGTTTCCCTCCTGATGACCGACGTCCTTAGACGAGTCACATACAGAATAAGTCTAGAGTCTGCACATAGAAGTGATGCTTTTATATTTGTGCACATAGTGATCTCCCATACAAAGAAGTAAATGAACTTTATCTCCAAAGTGTCCCTTACATACAGAGAAGAAGATGAACGACAACTAAACAGGTCGTATGTTTTATAACGATTTTGTGAGCTCTCTCTCTCGATCGCGAATAGGATATAATATAAGTTTAATTATCTCCTGATTTGTATATTAGTTGTAGTAGTTCTGTCTCTCGTTTATCCACATTTTGTATGAGTTTATTTTCTTGTTTTATTAAATTTATTATTTCGTTTCAACTAAAATGCCTCTTAATTGCGTGACCGAATCAGATCGCATACGCGTGTTAATCTGCGTGTAAAACAATTGATTAACTGGTGTCAGCATCCTGACGTAGATCCGAATCTCGCGATTTGGATCATTATTAAAAGCCCTCCCAGTCAAACGAATCTTGACATAAGATCGGATCCCGCGATCCAAAACTTCGGAGACAGATTTTGGTTAATCTGTGCCTAGTAAGTGATACAGGCGTAAAAATCTACCCTGTACCCTAGGCTAACTCTCACATAACCAGGGCTGGCCATCTGGGGGGTGCGTTGGATGTTATGCATCGGGGCCCCATGATTGAGGGGGCCTCAACATTATCAAGTACTAAAATAACGTACTCTTGCACATGAAAACTTGACAATATTCTTATTGCTGTCAGTATGACGAAAAGTACATTTTATTGTAAACATTATTATTGTAGATCTCTGAATTTTGACAATCTTCAAACTAATTCTTGATGATGCGAGTGTTTAGTTTTTGTTATTTGATTTGGGAAACTCCCGACGATCCCCACCTAAACTGAACTTTTTAGAAAAAATCTCAATACCATATAGCCCGCGTTAAGAAATGAAAATAATACTGTGGCTGTTGGCCATATAAAATTATATGTATATTTATATATAGTCGTAGTTTTAACGTTTCTTTTATAATTTCTTCTATCTCTTTTTATCTGTCTTATTTCTGGAACTTTCGGTGGTGACCGTTATTGCCTCTGCGTAGGATTAACTGTTCCAAAAATCAGAGAACAATAGGTGATGGGGGGACTTGGGAAAAGCAACAAGCAGAATTGGCACCTTTTGGACCTGACACCGAATGTGCCAGGGAAGAGTGAAATCTCAGTAAGAAAGAAGAGATAGGAAAGTTTGTTCAGAAGAAGGACAGAAGGGATGAAGTCCTAAGAAGGAGTCTTAAGGAGCCTCCGAGAAGCTGTGAGAGTTCGAGTTCAGCACGAGAAAGAAAGACGTGTCTACTCGCAGAGTTAGAGAGGAAGGCTGATATTCGAAGAAGCCTGAGAACAGAAAGAGAAAATAATAAAAATCGTGAGTACAGGAACTACCATCTCCAAGAAGATGTCCTATCCAAGGCACACATTGACCGAGTATAAAGAAATCCCAGGTGAGTCAATTCTATTTTTCCGACTACTTATCTTTCTATCCCTCTTCTTATTTCCCTAGATATAAGTTAGTTTTAAGATAGATGTAAGTTAGGTATTAAGTATGCAGCTAGATCAAATTGGTTGTTACGCACCACCTTTTTTGGGTAATATATTCGTTGTTTGGGAAGGAATTAAGTGTTTTTTGTACGGTACACCCCATATTGTATAATATTACAAACAGTTGGGATCCAGCATATAGTATTTTGATAATTCATACTATAAAATGTTTAATATTGTTAGATCTAATCATGTCCATGCCAAGGAAATATAACTCTGGGTGTCAAAAAAGAAAATTAGCAGAAAAGAAAAAAGTAGAAAAGCTAAATTTCAAAAAATCACAAGTAGATTGTTTTCTTGGCTACGAAGTAATTCTAGCAATGAAATTGTTTCGATTTCAGAAGTTACAATTCAAGCTTCAACTGGAGAAGAAAGTTTCACACAAACTACAGTCTTGCAATGAAAATGTTGAAACTGTGAAATTCGTTGAAGAACCATATTTTTATACAAATATGATTGAATCAAAAAATAACGTCAAAAATGACAATAACAAATATGATCAAGTGAATATAAGTGATTCAGGTTTATGGCCAAGTATTATAACTGGTAAGTTTAGAATGTTTTGTGTTAAAACCAGATCTGTACAACACAAAGGAGTTTTTGCTAAGAATGCTGAAGGTACCATTTTCCACTACGTACTACTTTAAGTTTAATCCAATTATTAAGTAAATACGACTCTGTGCTAATGGATCATATAAACAGAATAAAAAATTCGAAAAATAGAATTGTGCATCATTTAGCACACAGATCACAAGAACAAATTATTTCTGCGTTAGGAGATGAAGTTCTTAACAAAATTAAAGACGATATAAAAGCAGCCACATACTATAGTATCCAAATGGAGTGTACTCCTGATATTTCCCATAAAGAACAAACTTCAATCATTATTAGGTATGCAAATTTTGAAGAGAAAAGATTAACTATAAATGAGTCATTTATAGGGTTTACTGAAGTAACTGATGTGATTGGAGAAGGACTAGCAAAAACTCTATTGAAAACATTAAGTGAGCTTGATTTAGATATTATGAATTGTAGAGGGCAGGGATATGACAACGGTAACAACATGAAAGGGAAATATAAAGGTGTACAATCTAGAATAATTGCTCTAAACCCTCACGCAATATATGTGCCTTGCCTATCACACTCTTTTAATTTATTAATTTGTGATGCCACTTCCAGCAGTATATATTGTAATTTTTTTTTGGGGATATTGCAACGTTTATATTGCTTATTTGCTGCATCTACAAAAAGATGGGAAATTCTACAAAGGCATTTAAACATTACTCTTAAACCATTATGCAACACTCGTTGGGAAGCCAAAATAGATTCGGTTAAAGCAGTGTATATACACTTTGAACAAACTTGTAATGCCCTAGAAGAATTTATTGATGTAAGTAATGATAATACAGCAATATCCGAAGCTAAAAGTCTATTAGATTCAATACAAGAAATGCCATTTATTTTATGTTTAATAGTATGGTTTGTAATGTTGTCTAAAATTAACGCTATCAATATACTATCAATTTACTTTACAAAAAATTTAGGGCCCAAATGGTTTCTTGCACTCGGGCCTCTTTATAGAGAAGGTAATAACTTAATCTTATGTTGACATATTTCATCTGTTAATCTAAGTGTTTAACTAATATATTTGATGCATGCACCAAAATTTGTCTTCCACTGAGATCTCATATACTGTATTACTGATATACTGTTAAAGTTAAGTTGGTCTTTGCCATTCCTTATTACTGCTTATATTGTACAATGGGATTTCAACAATAGNATATTAAACGATTTACAGTTTTCCCACCTTCTCTACTTTCATTATGATCAATTTCATCCTCTGAATCAGGAGGCTTTAAATCTTCGTAATCATCATAATCAGAGCTAGACAGGGAAGTCAAACGGCCTTCACTTGAATTCATTGGAAACTAGTAAAAATATAGAGAGATAAATTTATACGAAATTATCATAAAAATAAAAAATTTCTAGTTTAAAATGACTACATCAAGGCAGAACATAAGCTTTTCTATTTCCTGAATACAACCATCTGTTACAAAAATCATAAAATATATGACCCTAATTTAAAAAACATTTATAAATTTGTCTATACATTATTACTTAACTGTTAAAACATAATTAATGAATAGAATTTTGCTTATAATAATAAATTTCTTAATTTAGAATAAAAATCAAGGATAATATTTAATTTATTAGATCTATTATGTATTATTACATTTTTAGATATGAAATTATTATATAATTATCTAAGAACATTTTATTTATTTCATTTTGTTAACATGAATAAAAAAATTTTAAGCATTTGAATTATAGCTTAATCTCAATTGCATAGAAAATTAAGCCATATAATTTCAACATTTAATAATGTAGAGAGTAATTTTCCAATTAAGTTTTAGTTCATATTAAATATAGATCAAATAAATATATACAAAAATAAATATTTTAAAATTCCTTCCTTTCTTAAGTGTCTTCTCCTTTCAAAACATTTACAATCACAAATATTCATCAGTTTCTATTTTGAGCTTCCCTACTGCTATCAATACTGGCTTTTCTAATCTTCTATGTTTACAGTCCAACTAATTCTCTACCTTCTTCTCTTCCCCTCCAACAGAGTTTTTGTAAATAATAGTTTTAATTTAAAAAACATATAGATGTATATTAAAGCCCAAATCATGCATATTAAACAACTTCTTGCATCTGAAAAAAACTGTTTAATGTGTTCTACATATTGTAAGACAACATATGTATCTATATAGAATGCTTTACAATATGTATGACAATAATAAAATGGTAAAGAAAAATTCTAAAAATCCAGGATGTAATATAATTATAAAAAAAAATACATTGAAAAAATACTAAGTATTACAGACAATACAAAAATATAAATTCTTGTCTTCTCCTTTTTCCTCTTTCAACATCACAGGAACATGATCCACACAGTAGAGTCTACCTTTCTTTTTAGGCTACTTTCCCTGCCTATATTTATGTAAATCAGATAAAATGTTCCTTGACTATGGATTCCATCGAAAAAATTGTTTACATTGTAAAAAAATATAGGCGAGGAAAGTAGCCTAAAAAGAAATATCAACTCCACTGTGTGGATCATGTTCCTGTGATGTTGAAAGAGGACAAAGAAGACAAGAATTTGTANTAATATATTATCTATGTAAACTAGATAAAAAAAAAATTAAATATATTTTTATTAATTAAATGTGCACCATTTTCTTAAATTCCAGTGGAATTTTATGAAATTTCTGCCACTGAAAGGTAAAGGCGCTTTTAAAAAAATCATTTAATTGTATTTAAATTTAAACAGATGAGAGAGATATTGGCTAAAGAAAGAGAAGACAGGGGTTGCAGTCTTATACAGGAAGTGATTGAAGAAGACGAAGAATCCATTTTAGAAAATGCTGACAATGTCTAACTGACGAACGAATTGTTTTGTTTATAAATAGTTTATTATTTTTAATGCATTAGTTTAGTTTTATTTAAAGTTTTATATGCACTCATTCTTTGCCTTAAAGGGAAAACAATCCAAGAAGTTGGAGATTTGCACATTATAGTTTACTCATTGCATTTTAGGTTTGGAAGGATGTCTGAAAGTCTGACTTTGATGTGGAAACTATCTTTCAACCGAGGTTTTTCTTTTTGTAGAAAATGCAATGCAAAGTGTTTAGAATTCCACATTACTTGCAGTTTATGTACACAGGTTTAATTTACATATTAAAGTAACCTTTCTAGTTTCTTCAGTTCTTTAATCACTGTCAAATTACTCGCCAAATTTTACAAAACATTACTGCAACTGTTGTTTATTAAACTAAGTCCACAAGCGACAGTTCGGGATTTAAAGACAGCATCAGGAGTACGATGCGAGTCTAAGGAAATCCATCCATAAAAGCTAGATATCAGGATGTAATTGAATCTTCCCAATTCTTAAATAGCTGGATTATTTTGATTAATCAAATATTTGAGCAATAATCTGTTGTATCTGTGTCGTAAATGCCTTTCTAGTTCTTTTTAGCATGTATATCCATATATGATGTGTAAATACAGACTGAAGGAGAGAATGTACAGAATTAAAAGAAAAGAAAAAAAAAAAAAAATGGATGCGTGTACAGTGTGTGGTGGAAGAGTATAACTTAATGTCGGCAGAGAATATGTAAAGATTCTTGTAATTATCATTAAGCCTTCCTGAATTGTCATGGCTGAGCTTCTTTCGTATGTATGCATTTTGACAAGCTAACAGTCCTCTATTTGGAAATAAAATGATCAAATTAATTGTGTGTATGTTTATTTTAGCTTCTTATTTTCATGGGAATGATACTTGCTTCTTTTTTTATTACAAAGAGAAACAGACTTACAACTACACATCACAAATCAGCCTTTGGACCCAGGCTGAGAGGTATGGCTTTCAATTCAGTCCTCATGCACAGAAATTCTCCGCAGACGCACATGATAGTTATGCAGACTATATTAAGTAACCACCAGGATAACGTGTGTGGAAAACTGCTGTTGTAGATCCAACAGGCTATCAGATGAAACAAATGGGCAGTTACAGTAAAGTCCAAACACAGTTTTGTTCTCTGTACAAAATACCAGAGTCCCAATGAACTGAAAGCAAGAAATAAACTGTAATCTGTTCCAAGTTTTACAAATTATAAAATGTTCTCAACTTACCAACACAATGAATTCAATAAATAAGATCCTACAATGCACTGTCCATGAAAATCTTTCACATGTATTTGCTGTAAAATAAATAGGTTTAAAAATAAATTTTATTTGATCATAATGTAAAAACAGCAATTGTCACTCACCTGATATAGAAATATTTGATCTAAAGAATGAGCTGTACTGCTCAAAATGTTAGTAAGAAATATCCACAATCCTAAAGAAGCATAAAAAATACTCTGAATAGTTATAATTTGAGCCACAATGAGAGGCGGATCCCATACTGAGTAACGAAAGTGACCGCCCATAACCATAATTGCTTTCTTATACAGCTACATGGGACTTCACAGAAATTTGGCTAATATTGTAATGCTTTTCATGAATCTTCATGATTATCTGAAAAATAATTTTCTTTCATTTAATTTTAGATAATTTCATAAATTAATGATATCATTGACATTTAAACAGTACACATTTTCCTTAGGCAGCTGTTGATATGTCATCTTTGGATTTATTGAATTTAAGTTTTTTGAGAAATCTTAGCATTAAAATTATCAATAAAATCAGTTCTTCCTATACATTTACTATCTGAAAATAGTATTAAATCCAAACAAACAGTGACAATATTTATATTACCAAGTCGTCTTATAAAAGATATATACAGTCGACCCCCCTATAACACGGTAGATACGTTCCGGTTTTTATGAATCCAGCCAATCACAGCCTGGCACTTATGCAGTTTACGGACTGTGGCTGTTTGAAAGGTTTCTTCCATAAAATTAATCAATTCTAGACTAATTTGACTCAACATTTCCAAAATATGTATAATTTTTTTGGGAATAATCCATGTAAACTATGCTATAAACAAAAAATTGTAGGATTACTTGCCATTGCTTAGGCTTGTTTTCGTCGTGGAGCTTGTCATCGAATGGCGCTCGTGTGCTTCCTGATAAACTATTTTTTTTGCAAAAAATTCACCGAACTTTGGAGACATCATTAATATAAATATAATTTTTATGGCCATTAAATAATAAATGGTTTTTAGTAGGTCTGCCGCTTGTTTAAACTCAATGGTTTGTGCAATATCTGCTATTGGCCTAGATTCGACCAATCCTGTTGCGACACGAGTCGGCGACGACGTTTTACCGAATTATACGAGTTTTTTTAGCATGTTTGTACGAATGCTGTCACAATTTTTTTGCTGTGATATAGGAATCCAAACTATAGGAACCCGTGTTATGGGGGTCGACTGTATATATATGTGAACAAATTTAAAATAATTCGTCTCTTAGACAATCTCCTTTCTTCCAATTAGTCTGTAAAATCAAAGGTTTACTGTATTTTATAACTTTGCGTAACTACGTTAATGACACTTGATGTTTATATAAAAAACGAATCAGTTAAAATATCTAAGCCAATCAATGTACAGTACATCACATTAATTTAATCACATCTGAAAATTTTTTGTTTAAATAGAGGGTTTACTGTATGATGATGATTTAAATTAACATTTATCATCAAAAGTATTAATAAAATAACACTAAGGCTTTTGATAACATTTTCTTATGAAAGTTTAAAAATACCACATTGATCCCTTTTATTTTATTTACTACATTAAAAGTAAATGTTTGCTTTTATATAGTTTTCTTTTTGTAATTTCTGGTTGGATATTATTTTATGCATAGTGCTTATTTACATATACCCAGTATGATTTATTGAATTTATTTCTATAAATAATAAAGATTCAGAGCCTAACTATTGCATGATAATAAACTTCTTAAAAATAACATTTGAAGTTTTAGATTTTTAATCCAATATATTTAGCATTTCTGCTATGAAAACTCAATTTTAAGAAAAATATTGTACTGGTATTTTAGTCATGCTGTCAGAACATGCAAAATAAACAATGCATGTCTGTTTGGTGATATATTGAGAGAGATTCTATCGAGTTGAAATGCTACAATACCTGATTTCACATTGAATTGCAGTTAGATTTGTTCTTAATTTATTAAAATAAAACAACTAAAATTTTATAATGTTTTGAATCAATGTTTGGATTAAATTAGCATTTGTACAGGTCCTGGAATTCAGAATGGATAAATAGTGGATAATAGGTAGGTTTTCTGTATACCTGGGTAAGGAAGTTGCCCTCCTGTATTGTTAAGAGTACATCTATTGGCCCACTTCCTCAAGCTTCAAGTTGAACACTCGGGTTGAACCTCTCGGGCAATTCCTCGATGTC